CACTCTTCAGATGGGATTTTTGGATCACTTAATTTCCCTACTAGTTTCTTCCAGCCACTGGATTTTGCTGATAGGGAAGGAGTTTTATTTCTAGTCCTTTTTTAAAGGTTTCCATTATAGTGGTTCTTATACATTTCACATTTGTTCTATCATCATCATTGGGGACCTGAAAGTGGGGGACTCAGGACGGGCTACTGCCTTTCTCAGACTAATAGGAAAACTGATGACTTCTTCATATGTTCACTGACCACTTGAATTTGTCCTTCTGTGAATTGTCTCTTCAAGCCATTTCCCACTGGGTTGTCTTTCTGCTCTCTATCTGTTGAAATTGCTGCAGCCCCTTTGGAGCTTTCATCTGGCCCCACTGCATCAGAGCCCCTGCATCAGCTCTGACCATCAGGAGCTGAAGAAGGTTCTAGACCTCATCTGCACCCATATCACTGCCCAGCCCAGGCGAGGTAAAGAGCTGGCTGGAGATGGGAGGATGAGGCACCATTCGAGCCAGGCTTATTCCAGAATCCTGGAGGCATATTTACAGGGAGACTCACACTGCCCCTCTAATGTCCTTTTGTTTCACAGAAGAGCATTCTGTTTGGTCATGGAAGAGGCTAGCATCTGGAATGTTGTATAAAAGATGGACTGGGACTCAGGATGCAACCCTCTAAGGAAGTGCAGCGGGAGGCTTCGGGGCTTGCGCGACCTACCTACTGGCCTTGGACCAGCCATGCTATGAGGTGAGCAGTCATCCATGGACATGACTTCTCAGCTCATGGGAGCTGGGGGCTGCTGGGCACCCTTGCTGATGATGAGCAGGAAGAGAAGGCGAATCCCGAAGCAGCAGTGAGGAGACTGGAAAGTTTCCGGGACCAGAAGTGAACGGTCAGGAAAGCATGTGAGCCACTCTCAGAAGTCAGAGAGTGCTGGTCTGTCCATCTACCTCCATCCTTCCCTTCCCTACACTGTAAGTGGATTCTCTATTTTGATTTCAGGTGTGGTACAAACACAGACCTAATGCTGTTTGCTTTTCAGATGTAAGAACAGATAGCCTTCCTTCCCACTGACATTGTATAAAAGAAGAGTAAATGGCAGTCTTTTAATTTTAAAATCCTGAGATTCACAACCTCAACCCCAATGCCTGACTAACAGATAAACACTTTGGGTTAAGATTATCCTAGAGGTGTTTTTCTTTTTCCTTTTGTTTTTTTCAGGCTTATAGTTCTGTGGAACAAAAGTGTTCCCATTTCCAGATGCCACCTCATTTCAAAATTCACCTTCAGGGCCAACATTCCTTGTTGGATTGATGAGCTTTCTAGTGTGGTCAAGAACATTACAGGCAATGTACATAGTACTGAAAAGAAGATATTTTATCACTTCTCTAAAAACTGGGGATGATCTTATGCAGTTGTTTCATAAGAAATATGTCTCACATCTGATGGGATAAATTCCCTTCAAAGATGAATCAAAGAAAATAGTATCCAAGATGCCAAAGAACCCACTCTTAGCCAAACTCCAACACACCTACAGTGAGCTCCACAGCTGCTAAAAGGACAACTCTTTCCATCACCCAATAAACCACATGGAGAGATTTAAAAGGAAAGACAGAAAGAAGCCTGTGTAAGATCCAGTCAGATTACACATTACTGTGAAAAGGAAGCCATCCTCAGCTTTACAGTATCTAAATAGAACATATAACTTAAAATAGTCAGCTGCCAGTCAGTAAAGCCATAAAAATGACTAAAACCAAGTTTGAGAATTGACCATAAAATTGGTTGATAAAAATAAGGAAATTATATTTGTTTTACAGTTGATTAAAATTATTGTATTTCTAGATTTGATTTTTCTATGTTATTGAATTGATGGGTTGTTGTTGTTTAGTTGCTAAGTCGTATCTGACTCTTTGTGACCCCATGGGCTGTAGCCCACCAGGCTCCTCTGTCCACGGATTTCCCAGGCAAGAATACTGGAGTGAGTTGCCATTTCCTTCTCCAGGGGTTCTTCCCAACCCAGGGATCAAACCTGCATCTCCTGCATTAGCAAGATGAATTCTTTACCACTGAGCCTCTGGGGGTGGGGGTGGGTTCTCTCTTTATCCCTTTCTCCAGCTGAAGGCACATTTTCCCGTGTCATTCAAAGAAGTGGGTTTGGACTGACAAGGTGTTTTAAAACTCCATGGACAAGCTCAATTAGCATAGTTCTTTGGAAGGGATTCAATGATCTTTGGCTACTATTAATATTTTTAATCTTTCATTTTTATTATGTGTATGATGTCAAGAGCTGTGGCAGGAAGCACATTTTGTCAATTAAATAATTAATCCCCAGCATAATAGTCAGGGAGGAAAAACTGACATTTGTCAGGTTCAAAGAAAATGAAAGCTGGGAAGGAATTTTCATTACTCTTGCTCAGGAAACACATAATCTGAGAGCAGATTTGACTTGTTCCTTTCCTCATCTACCAAGCGTCTGCTACAAACATTCCCTGTATCAAACCACAGGAAAGAAAAAGCATTTGCAATAGTTCTCCCCCCATCCTTATCCACCCAATCACAAAATCACATTAGTTTTCTTTTTTACATATGTCTTCAGTCTCCTCCTTTTAGTACCATCAAAATTGGCTAAAATTGACTCCACAAAACTATAGGGCAAGGATGACACTAAATTGTCTGCTTTCTGCTTTAGCAAATGCACAGAGGTTAGAAGCCTGAGCGATGGAGGTAGACAGCCCGGTTCAAGTCCCTGCAGGGCCCTCACTGACCATGGGATCTCAGGCTCCAGGCTTGCCTGTCTCAACTTGAGAAAGGATCCTGCTCTCAGGCCCCAGCTCCCAAGGCGCTGGGAGACTCCAGTGACGGCGCACACACTTCCCAGCACACAGCCAGCCGTGAGGTAAGGAGTCAGCATGCCTCGGCTATAAAGAGCAGTGCATTCCGTTTACGTTTTTAATACGATCTGATTTATGAACAGGTGGAGTGCACTGTCGCACCAGCACACGCTGCACTTTCGCTTTTCCTTTCACTTCTGCTCCTAAGCCTCCTCTCACTGCTCCTACTTCAGTCTCTCCTGTCAGGAGGCCTCTGTCGGCTTGCCTGGCGCTCTCTCTCCTCCGGCCCCTTCCCACTCTAGTCCTTGGCTGGCAAGGCGCCGGGTCCGCTAAGTCTAAGGTTCCAGGGTTTCCACAGATGGTCTTGCCGTGTCATCAGCAACAGTCTGCACTGGATTAATGCTGCCTGGGAGGTGAAAATTTCAGCTCACTATTTTTAACCTGTTAAGCATCCTTGTTTGTGCCAAAACCAAACGGTTGCTTGGGGTGGGGATGTGTTTCCTGGGTACATCATGCCACATGTGAAACTTTTTTCTCTAATAGTATTCCACAAGGTCGAATAAATAGGTCACTAATAGGTCACTAAACAGTTATTTTTGTTATAAAAAGCAAGACTTCACCAGGTTCCCATTGCCTGTATGTCTACAATATCTATTTTTGCAATTGGTGAAAAATATACCCTGATAATCTACGACAGCTGTATAGACAACATGAAACAAAAAATTGGGTTTAGAATGACCGCCCATTGGACAATGAGCTCAAGACCCTTAATTTAGCAAGAGTACCTATCTCAAATATGTGTTCTGTATTTCCCTTAAATACTGGATTAAAACTGTTAAGCAATTTTGTCCTCTTTCATGTAATTTGATACGTGTAATTAGTAAGGCAGGTGGGGAAAAAAAAACTTAGTAAGGCAGTAAGGGGGGGGGGAATCTCCCTTTGGTAAATCAGATGAGTTTTCTTGACATAAATTGGTTTTAGGTGAGGGAACATTATTTTAATCTAGTTAGGATGGCTCTTTCCACAATGCAGAGAAAAAAAAAAACGTGGAAAATTTTCAAATTTTTGAATGATTTGTTGCATTATTACTTTTTCTGAAATTTGTTCCTGCTCAGGATCAAACTGAGTCACACTTTCTATAAGGTGACTGGAAAAGAATGAATATATTCTTTAAGTTTATTTTTCCTCATTTCTTGATGCAATTTGCTAAATGAGGCTAAGCTATGGGTAAATGTACAATGCAGGAGAAAGGAGCTTTTATTAGTAGTAATATTGCACACATCTCAGGACTATGTTAGAAGAAACAAAATGTCTCTATGTACGCTTCCTGGGCTCAGATAGTAAAGAATCTGCTTGCAGTGCAGGAGACCAGGATTTGTTCCATGGGTCAGAAGATTTCCCTGTTCAGAAATGGCAGCCCACTCCAGCATTCTTGCCTGGAGAATTCCATGGACAGAGGAGCCTGGTCCCTCTGGTCCACCCCAGAGGGCTACAGTCCATGGGGTCCAACAGAGTCAGCAACTGAGCAACTAACACTTATGCTGACTTTAAAGAAGCTACTGTCTTTAATGGGTGGATATCAGAAGGGTTAGGATTGTGAGGTCAAGTTACAGCAGTCACTGTTTCACTGGTTGAACATGCAGGCAGAAAACAAGAGTGTAAAAATGTTCAACAAATAAATGTAAATGATCAAACCATAACAGATTATATTATGGGAAACTAGGATGTTTTAACCTTAATGCCCTAGATTGCCTTTGAGGGAGAAAATGGAACTCTTCTGAAGCAGGTTCTCCTATAAACAGTCAGAAACAGCTGGGCTGGATGGATCAGGAGATGATGCAGAGGAAGAATAAAGATGGGTTTCCTCACCGACAGTTCTGATCTCCTTACACCAACTCTAATTAGAAAAACACTGTGAGCATCTTCCTGAGCGTGGAAGGGAGCCCAGAGAGTTTATGCTCCAACACTGACTGTGTGCCAGAAGGACTTGTGTCTGGGGCTCCAAATGCCCGTGGGTGGCTCTCCATCTCTAATGCGGAAGACTGTGGGATCACCTGATATCTCAAAGTCTGAATCAGAGGCCAGAACATCAGTCTAAGAAAATAATCATGGCATCCTGACACCAGCAAGTTAGCGTGAACTGAGCGTGCCCGCCGTGTCACTGGGACGAGGACCTACCTACCTTGTCTGGAGAACTCATCCGCTTCCCTGTGAACCAAATCCTTTACTCTGTTTCCGTAAAGCAGCCGTGAGGAATCGTGATCAAAGGCTTTCAGGGTTTCGCTGGAGCTATAAGACTTCTGCGTGGGAACTCGGCACTCCTCGTTGTCTGCCGAGGAGTTCGTGTAGCGCCGCTCCTTCTCCCGGCGGTTCTTGGTCAGCGAGCAGTAGGGCCGCCGTTCCTTCACATCCATACTTCATTCCTTCCCGGGGCACATCAGTCCTGGCTGTGGCCGGGTCGGCTCAGGGGTCCATCCTCAGTGGTCTGCCTGTGGAGATAAAAGGTTGGCATGATGTCAGCATCAGTTCAGTTCAGTCGATCAGTCGTGTCCGACTCTTTGTGACCCCATGGACTGCAGCACACCAGGCTTCCCTGTCCATCACCAACTCCCAGAGCTTACTCAAACTCATGTCCATTGAGTTGGTGATGCTATCCAACCATCTCATCCTCTGTTAGCATTACGTTCATCTAAAAACCTACAGCCTCCTTAACCTGGAGGATGATGGGAAGGAAGGGTGCTATTGCATATGGTGGAAACTCACTTTCCCCAAGAAATGAACACTGGTGAAATCAGCCTAAGGTATCCTGTCTCATCAGCAGGTGAGGCACACCTTCTGGTAATGAGTGTTATGAGTCCTTGTTGAAGCTACTAGATCGAATCTTCACTTTAATGATGAGTTGCTAAGTCATATCTGACTCTTGCGACCCCATGGACTGTAGCCCACCAGGCTCCTCTGCCCATGGGATTCTCCAGGCAAGAATACTGGAGTGGGTTGCCGTTTCCTTCTCCATCACCTTAATACACACACATGCAAAATAAGCTCAAGCTCAAATCTTGGTCCAGAAGCTAGCTAAAAACTGGCCTCAATGTTTTCTGAATTTTCCACAATGGAAAAGTTTTCTCCTGCTGCATTTTCTTTATTCACGAAAAAATTTTCTTTAAAAAAAAAAAACAAAACAAAAAACTACTTTTATTTCTTTAATCTTTTTTTAAAGAGCAAGAGAAAATTGGGAGCTTCTTAGAAGTGAAACTTTTAAGTACACCGAACATTCATTTTATTACTTTTTTTAAAAAGACATTTCGTTTAGAGGGCACAGGTATCATGTTTTAAGGACCCGAATGTCTTGACTAGTGGCAAAAGTGGATCTTTCTCTCCTAATTCCTCTCCTGCAAAAGCATTTTCCTTTTGAGAAAATAAATTGAAGCAACACTATCTTGATATTTACGGCAATTTGAGTAGCTAATGTGATGGGGTAGTTTCTTGCAAGGGCCAGCAGCAAGAATGAGTGAGAAGAAGCAGGGTGAATAGTGTTTCTCTGCCTACCTACTCTTTTCCTTACATTTCCTGAAGGGGTTAGGGTGGGCAGAAAAGCCTCTGTCCCTGAAGATGCAAGCCCAGGAGAGGGAGGGTGACCCAGGGCTGATCCACATTTTAATTGGTCCTCTTCTGTCTTTATTCTTTCTCATTTTGTCTCTCCTTTTAATCTGAAGGTCCCCAAAGGTCTTGTCTTCAGCTCTCGTGCCTTTCCCTACCCCCACTACTTTCCTAAACTTGACTTGGCTAATTCCATAATCAACTTGAAACAATTGATTCCCAGTGGCCCCCGGTCTTTCCCTGGGGTTCCATGTCCTTAGTGCTGGGACTCATAGATAGCTACTTTCTTCCACTTATAAAGCCCTTCTTCCAAGGAGTCTCTCTCTGTCTCTTCAACCTCAGCCGTCAGGAAGTACATTACCCTGCTCTTTCTTGTCCTTCCAACGTGGAATCTCATAGCTAACTCTAATTTGCTGACAGTGGTTCAGCTGACATCTGTGCTGACTGTCAACAAGTCTTGATTCCTTCTGAGCAAAATTACAACTCCTAATACTTTTCACTTTCTCACTTCTGCCTTCTATCCAGTGATGAGGAAATGGGGAAAACTCTGAGCTGGAATGACCCAAGTTCCAGAGTCTCTGTGTGAAAAATTTGGATATTCCTCCTGCCATCTCTCCAACTGAACCAAATCCTACCCCTCCCATACTGACAGCTACCCCACATGGGGTTTCATATGTCTCTGCTATGATTTGAGCTGGGCACTTAAAAGCAGTTGCTAATATTTTAGCTTGGTTGTTGAAATGTATCTTGACATCTCTACCTTTGTCTTCTTTTTGATGGATCCTATTTTAAAAAGATGAATCTTTTTCACTGACCCCTGCTGATTTATTACTCAATTTTTCTCTTTACCAATCTTTCCAATAGCTTTTAATAGAAATTGGATTTCCCTTAATGTAGCTTTCCTTTCTATTTAAGACAATAAATAATTTCAAGGTATGGTGACAGGAGTATTTTTATACAATAGGATTAAAACAGCAACCCACCAACTCACTGTTGTTATTCCAACAAACAAAAGTTACTTTAGATAAATATTTATTGAATGACTAATATGCTGAGAACACACCACTGAATCAAACAATGTCCCTGCCCTCAGGGAACACATGCATAGTGAGGGAAACAGATACATTTTTTGTAATGCAGTGAATAAATATCCCTGAGTTAAAGGAAAATCTTGTTTCCAAAACACTCTTGCTCTCTTTGGAGGAAAGGTTTATGTAAACTCTCATAACTGTACAATCATCAAAAAGCATTTCATTGACCAGAAAAAATTGTAACTTAAGCATCTTTGGTAACAGAATTTTGGGATTTGAAGTCATTATAAAGGTTCCATCTCTTGCCCTAAATTGACTACTTCTAAAAAATAAGTATTGCAATATATAGGACTTCCCACATAGTGCAGTGCTAAAGAATATGCCTGCCAATGCAGGAGATGCAGGTTTGACCCTGGGGTTAGGAAGATCTCCTGGAGTAGGAAATGACAACCCACTCCAATATTGTTGCTGGGGAATTCCATGGACAGAGGAAGCTGGCGGGCTACAGTCCATGGGGTCACAAAGGNAGACGAGGCATTGGAAAACTAGTCCCTTGACCAAATCTGACCCATGACCTGTTTTTGTAAATACAGTTTTACTGGAATGCAGCACATATGTTTGTTTATGTATTCTCCTGGACTGTGTTCCTGCTGCAAAGACAGAATTGAGTGGTTACAACAGAGACTCTAGTGAATTAAATTGTGGTTTCCCAAAATATATGCTCAAGTCCTAACCCCTGGTACCCGTGAATGCGACCTTACCTAGAAATATAGTCTTTATATTAATAGTTATAATAGAGTTAGAATGAGGTCATACTAAATTCTCATGGCATTCAACTTCAATGACTGGTTTCTTTATACAGAGAGAAGAGGGGCATTTGGATACAAAGAATTACAAACAAAGGAGAAAAGAGGCCAGGTGAGGATGGAGGCAGAGATTGAAACAAGCCTAGTGATGCCAAGTGCTGCCAGCAACCAGCAGAAGCCAGAGAGATGCATGGAACAGATTCTTCCTAGAATCTCAGAGGGAGCATGGCCCTTCTAACACCTTAATTCCATACTTCATGCCTCCAGAATAAAAAGAATGAATTTCTGTTGGTTTAAGCAACCAGATTTGGGATATTTTGTTACTGGAACCCTACGAAACTAACACAGAGATCTGGTGACCCCATAAAGTCTAAAGTATTTGCTCTCTGGCCCTTTATAGAGAAAAATTGCCAATGTCTAAGTTAGACCATACATGTTTCCATTCTATCTTTTTCTTTGTCCCTTTGGATCTTTGAATGTAAAAGTTTTTCTTTACTATATAGTCCATAATACAATTTTTTTTTCAGTCTCCCAAATCAGATAAATCAAAAATTGGTAAGTTCTTTAAAGTAGTAATATGAACGTTTATCAACAGTGGCAAAGATGCATCCTTGTACAATGCTACCCATTTTATAAATCAATTCTAATTAAACATTAATAAATTAGTACTAGATAATCTTAGGTATTCTTGAGTTTTATAGGATATCTCCAGCACTAAATATCTGACTTTTCTCTATTTGTGAAGTAATTCTAAAGTGTCATGGAAAATCAAGATAGAGTATTCAAATACACATCAAAGACAAAGACATTTCGAGCTTAGGGATTCCAAGCAATAAAAAATCCTTAGCATCTCGCTTTCCAGTGTTGCAAATGGCTCAGACTCTTCAAGGATTTAATTTAAACTGTAACGTTCGCAACTACTGATACGCTTCTGATGGAAGTCAGTGAGTTCAATAAAACTTCAAAAGGCAGTTTTCTGCATTATCTCCAGCACTCAAAGCTGAAGATGAGAAGGTTAAAAAAATGCCACTGCTTAAGTGGCGCTAAATTGTTAAAGCACTTTGATGGCGATTGCACAGTCCTACCCAAGGAAGAGGGGCGTCGTGAGCATGTTCAGCATACAGAGGTTAATGGACAGGACCTTGGCTTCATCAGTGGGTGGGAGCTTTGAAAGGGAAGGAAAACTATTGGAGAGAAAGGGGACCAAAATTTTTTGGTTGAACTGGCTATATATCGGCAAGTATATGACAATATCAATTGTTAATTGGTTAATTTTCATTAGGGCTTTGAAAAACCACTCAGTTACTACACATAGCACTGCTCTGAAAAACACAGCTGGCCTGAAGCAAATATCATTACTTGGCTATTTGTTTTTCCTCAATATCTTGCAAAGTATTTGAAAGATTAAATCAATGGGCAGGTAGTCCTGATTTAGGGACTCTAGGTATCAAATCCTCTATTTTAGATACATTATTTCAACATTATTTGAAACTTGGTCACAGAACTTAGGACATTATCACATTGTATTGTTACATGTTCCTAACTCCAAAGAAATATTGTAAAATTGTTACCTTTAGGAAGTAATCTGATTTTAACTGGACTTCCTATATTTTTAAAACCCTTGCTGCCAATGATTAGAATCTCTCAGGCCAGTGACAAAATCATCTGTGCGTCTAAAATTCTGTAAGCTTATATGTTGATATAGCAACTGAAATAGAAGCAAATGTCCAAACCCCAAAGGATTAAGCAAACTTTTGGTCAAACTCACTCTTGCTTCCATTGTTATTTATTATCTGTAAGGATTACAAATTCCTGAATATTGCCCTGAATATCTTCTGCACAGACTGCCTCCTCACTTAATAATAGTTTGGAAAAGCTCACCTAAAGGGATGAGCAGATTTTAGATTTTAATGCTCATTTACCCAGCACATTTGAGGTTAATGATCCAAACTAAGTTAACTGTGGAAGATGAAAGTGAAGTCGCTCAGTTGTGTCCGACTCTTTGCAACCCCCATGGACTATAGCCCACCAGGCTTCTCCATCCATGGGATTTTC